TGAGCACATCTGAGAGCACAAGCTCAAAATCCACATTACATGAGTCGACCTAAGAAGGGCTTTGAGTCGACTCAAGCCTTTAAAAACTCCTAAAAATTACTTTTTGAGCATGGTTTGGTCTACCTAAACAATATTTATGCACACCTAAGTCTCTCAAAAGGATCAAACACACACAAGACACATATGATGCTCTTCTATATGAAAAAACTCATGTTTTTGAAATATTTTTGTGCATGAGAGAACTACGAATGCAGATGAGACTCGATGATACCGTCCAAAATACAAAGTACTAACTAGACACGTTTTAAAATCATTAAAATAAGGATTGAGACAACTTGCCCTCACAGTATGCAATGTGACAACACCTCCACTCTATATGCATGTGGTATCAACTCAACAATGGTTCTTCATATGAACCGGATCCTAAAATCTAAAATCTAAACCCCGAGCCCCCTTATCTGAACTTGTGACTTGCCTCTTTCACAACAACGACAACATATGATGCATGGTATACGATAATGCAACGAAAACAACACAAGAATGATTACATCCCCACATCTAACTGTAAACAAGCATGCATTTAAACGCATCAACATTAGTTCTCACTTCAAACTACACATCTCCATAATTATCAACAAGTATTTACAACACTTCACATAATTATACTTGCACTTCACAACATATTTTCACGCATCACATAAACCTCCACACAACTTTCAATCATATCAATTCATCTTATCATCCTTCATCATTAATTCATTCATTTTCGTCCTCTGCCGTCAACCATTACGTAATAAGTAAAACAGTTAAATTTCACAAATTCTAGTACCCATATAGCCTATTAATGGAATTTAACTCACCAAAATACCCAAACACATAGAATTCATCATACAACACTTATATTACATCAAACATGTTAATTTCACACAGATCAACACCTTAATTCACCTTTTAATCATAAACTCAAGTTTATGTTCATAGAGTAAAAAACTCATCAATTGCAACATCAACAATTAGATTCCATAACAAATTATCATGAATATAATGCAGCACCCCATAGTACACAAAGTTCACCATAATGTCACCATTAATAATAGATAAATCACAATTTCCTATCAAAAACACATAATCATCATCAATGGAGAAACTAAAGGAAAACCTAGTGGAGGGTGAGGATCCCCCTCTACCCTTCATACAATATACATCTATAGTAGAGTAATTTCCCCCTTACCTGATTTTCCAGCAATCTCAATGTTTTGGCAACGGTGATTTCCTTTCCAAAACCCTAGTTCTTGCTCTGTCTCACATGTCTCCCGCCTCTCAATTCCAAATTGTTTTACGTACTACATAAAGTTTCAACTCCCACATTTTCTATTTAAACGAAAAGTTAATTCCACTTAATTAGGTTATTCTCTAATTACCTTTAACTTATTCACATATTTCTTATCTTGCACATACTCCTCTTACTAACTCTAACTTCTTTTATTTTAATTTTAATTCTAATAACTCAATTTTCCACTAAATTCTACTCTTTCTCTTATTTTTCTACAACTATCTTATTTTTATCATCGCACTTAACTTGAATTAGTTAAATTTAACCAATTAATTTCTACAATTCCCTCAAGTCTCTCCAATATCCACCAAGACACATATATTTACCAATTATCTAAATAAAAGTATATAAATTATTTTAAATAATCAAATAGAATAAAACTAAATTCAATTAAATAATTTAATTACATTCGGGGTGTTACATATGGTCTCAACAACAACAACAATATTATTGTAACATGAATATTAATTTAATATTTCACGTATTAGAAAAATAAAGAAGAGGTCAAAGAAATTAGTTTTGTGTACCTTAGCATCTTGCGAGTTTCGTGTTTTCTTTACTTGCTTGTTACGAATTGGACAAGATATGATGAATGTTAGTGAAAAATAGGTAATTTTACATTCATAGAGGGTTTTGGCTAGGTCGGTTTATGTTCTGAAGGGTTTTCGCTAGCTAAGGCATTGTTATATTCTGAAGAAAAATGAATAATAACTTAGTTTGTTTAAATTTAAAAGGAACACTTTTCACCACAGTTACTATTATTAACTGTGGCGATGTTTATACCTTTTAACCATATTTATATTTTCCGACAGTGGGAAAAAGTTATACATATTTGTTTATAAAAGACCTATATGTTCATTCACCTTTTTCCTAAATCTAAGTCATTATGCCTCCAAACTTCATCTTCAATTCAAAAAATCTACATATTCATTCACATTTTTCTAGCACATAATTGTTACACGTTCACAAACTAGAAAAAACTATTTATTGTTTTGTTGTTGTATCACTGACTTTGAAGATTTATGCTTGAAAATTCTAAAACGGTATATTGAAAATCTTGGTTTGAAGATTAATGTCAAGTTTCACTTTATCAAGTAAATTTATGCTTGAACCTTGACATTGGTTTTCAATGCCAAAAATTTCAAGATAGTAAAAATTTGAGAAGATATTGACACACAAAAGTGGCTTAAAAATGAATGATAAACTAAACTGTATGTGTTGAGATTTGAAGCTGAGGGACATTTCTCCACGGTTTGAAAACCTCAGCATAGTGAAATGTTATTTAATTTTAATTTTAAAAATATAAAAAAGAAACACGCCTCATTTCACCATAGTTGTTATCTTTAACCGAAGTGAAATGTGTCTAGAAAGTTGATAATAAAGATAAGCGCCTAATTCAGTAGAGTTTACCACGGTAAATACATTGACTGAGGTGAATGTTTGTTACAAACTTGGGTAAAACATGTTTTGAGATTGCGTGATTCATATATTGAGAGTATGCTAGATTGGAAAAAACTTGGGTAAAAAGTATGTTTTGTTCTTAGAAAACTCGAACATTATTTTATTGTAACTCATTTGTAATCCATTCTAACAAATTTTGAAATATAATAAATTGGGTAGGTGTTTTCTTCCCACGGTAGATTAGTTTGATAGAACTGAGTTCAAATTTTCTATGTACTCATTCAACTCTTTATTTTATACTTGTACATTTTGTTAAACATCAAACTTTATGCTTTAAAGAATGAATTAGTAGAGAAGGAAGTGTTGAATGAAGAACTTAAAACATTGAGCGAAATTTTAACCGTCTGAGAATGAGAGATGAATAATGAGTTACATAATGCTTGAAAATGATTTATTAGTGTAAGTTGTTATTCAAATATAACATAATTTTTCATATAATTATTTTCTAAATCAATTTGAAAGGTTATATGTTTAGTTAGGGTTTGGTGAAATAAGAAATTCACATTAGATATAATAAACTCAATTTAATATATATCTTGTCAATATCCACAACCAAGGGAAGTGCGTTTTTTGCCATTTAAAAATTTTAAAATGATGTGTTGGAGATCGAACCCACGACCAACACAATTTTCCCCTTAGTGGATCTATAACCCAAAGGAAGAGTGACAAGTTTTCATGACGCCCTTCGTTATGTCGCATATGAAACCGAGATAAAACCTTTTTTTCAACCGAGGTAAAAAGGTATTTTTCATAGTAGTGACGTCAAAGAAATGAGTTTTGGGTACCCTAGCTTCTTGCGAGTTTTGTGTTCCCTTTCCTTGCTCCATATGAATTGGAAAATACATAATGAAGATTAGTGAAGAAATGGAACTTCGTACATTTATGGAGAATTTTTGCTAGGGTGGTTTCTGCTATGAAGGGTTTTTCGCTAGCTAAGGCGTTGTTCTATTCTTAAGGAAAAATAAACTACAACTTGGTATGTTTTAATGTAAAAGGAACATTTTTCACCATAATTACTATTATCAACTACAGGTATATCTTATACCTTTTTAACCACTGTTACATTTTCCAACAATAGAAAAAAGTTATACAAATTTGTTTATAAAAACTCTACACATTCATTCACCTTTTTTCAGAAACCTAACGCATTCCGCCTCCAAACTTTTCATCTTTCATTCACGAACTATACATATTCCTTCTTCTTTTCCCATCACATAATTTCTACACGTTCACAAACTAGAAAACACCATTTCTTGTTGTGTTTTTGTATCGCTGACTTTGAAGGTTTTAACTTTGAAGATACTAAAATAGTATATTGAAAACCTTGATTTGAAGATTAATGTCAAGTTTCATTTTATCAAGTAAACGGTATACTTGAACCTTAACCATCTATGCCAAATTTTCAATATAGTAAAAAATTTATGAAAAAACTAAATTGTATGTGCGGGGATTCGAAACGTGTTTTTGGGGACATTTCTCCGTGGTTCGAAAACTTCACCATGGTGAAATTATATTTAATTTTAATTTAAGAAAACATGATACATTTCACCACGGTTGTTATCTCTAACTGGAGTGAAATGTGTCTTGAAAGTTAAGAATAGAGAAAAATACCTAATTCAATAGATTTTACGGCGGTAAATACTTTAACCAAGGTGAACGTTCATTACGAAATTTACATTTTTGTAGTAGTGACGCCTTAAAATCTCCAATTATAAAGAGAAAGAAAACATATTTAAATATTGCGTGATTCATATATTAAGAGGCAGTTAAATTGAAAAATACTTGAATAAAAAATATGTTTTGACCTTAAAAAATTTGAACGCTATTTTATTGTAACTCGTTTATAATCTATTATAACAACTTTTGAAATATTATAAACGGGAGAGCTGCTCTCTCCTTGTAGTAAATCTATTTGATCGGTATAATTTTTCTATGTACTCCCTTTTTATCTTATTGTTGCTCGTTTAGATTTGCTTATGTTATTTAATAGATTGATTTGCTTTGTTTGAAACTATTTATTTTAATTATAATTGTAGTTGTCATACATATAAAAGAGTATTGATGTGATCAAATACTATAATAGAAAACAACACATCTTAAACAGTATACGAATTTGAACCTAAAATGTTAGCAGGTTTACGTTTAGAAGTACCATTTGCTAGAAGAACACACATAAACATGATACACCATTTTATCCATAGTCTGTCTACTCACCAAAAGAAAAGCAATTATAACGAGGAATAGGGACACACATCAAAGGATGAGCCCTTGGAAGTGTCATAGCAGGTTTCTCTTCCATGTTAACTTTTCCATCACCACCAACCTTCCATTCAAAACATTGAATCATAGCAGCAGGATTTGTTGGAACAACTTGAAGTGCTAATGAAGTCCCAGAGCAAGCCCTTCTTCCACTTCCAAAAGGCATAAACTGAAAATTTTGTCCTCTCACATCAAACTTAACATCTTCACTCATAAACCTCTCTGGTTTGAACTCAAGTGGTTTTTCCCACAATTTAGGGTCCCTACCCATTGACCATAAATTAAGAATTAAAATGGTTTCTGCTGGAACCTCATAACCATAAGCAACACAACTTCCAGATGTTTGTCTCACTATAATTGGTGTTGTAGGGTGAATTCTTAGTGTTTCTTTTACTATTGCTTGCAAGTATGGAAGCTTGGGAAGATCTGATTCTTGTATTAATCTACTTTTTTGTGCTATTGAATCAATCTCTTGTCTTGCTTTTTGCATTACATCAGGGTTGTTTATTAACTCAACCATAGCCCATTCAATTGTTATAGCAGATGTGTCTGTTCTGCCATGAAAATATCCTGCATAATATACCATACTCTAAAATTATATATGTGAGATATTGGATCGAACTCTAGTATAGTCGAAGTCTGTTCGCGAGTAATGCGTGTTGTAGTCGAAGTTTGTTCTAACATGCATTAGTAAATATTGCTAGGGTTGTTGGCATGTTGAATTGGGTCTTGCTTGTAAGCCCAATTGTTTAAGTTAGCTTGTACCCTAAGTTAGCTTGTAATGGGTAATTGTTAAAAAGCCCATTAGGTTAGTGTTCTATTTTATTATAAATAGGATGCTAGTTTCTCAATCTTGGCATAAGGAAAAATAGGAAGATAAAATCCTAATTTCAAGGGAGAGCAGTTATTTTGTTATTCTTGTATACTTGTAATCTTGTTCTAAGAGAAAGGAAAGAATAGTAGTTTAATAACCAATCATTGTTGTTCCCTGTTACTTTTCTTCTTTATTAACCCTAACCCTTGTGTGTTTCTTGATAAGAAACCGTTTATACTTTGTTTAACGGTATCCGATTCACAACAAATTGGTGCGGTGGGCATGGAGAAGATGCCTTCAACAAAGTATGAGATTGAAAAGTTCACCGGAGTGAACGACTTCGGTCTTTGGCTCTTGAAGATGAAAGCCCTATTGGTTCAGCAGGGTTGTTTGGAAGCGTTGAAGGGTGAGGCTGCCATGGACGCTGCGTTAACGGCAAAAGAAAAGACGGGCATGATCGAGAAAGCCTACAGCGCAATATTGTTGAGCCTTGGTGATAAGTTTCTTCGACAGGTATCAAAGGAGACTACAACATCGGGATTATGGGTGAAACTTGAAAGTTTGTACATGACCAAATCTCTGGTGAATCAACTATACCTGAAGCAAGCTTTATATTTATTCAAGATGAGTGAAGACAAAGTGTTGGTTGAGCAGTTGGATATGTTCAACAAGCTGATTCTTGATCTTGAAAATATTGATGTGAAGATCGATGATGAAGATCAAGCACTGTTGCTACTGTGTGCTTTGCCCAGAACACATGCTCACTTCAAAGAAACTCTCTTGTATGGAAGGGAGTCCCTGACCTTTGAAGAAGTTCAATCAGCCTTGTATTCTAAGGACTTGAACGAACGAAAGGAGCATAAACCTTCGACGGTGGGCGAAGGTTTGGCCGTTAAGGGAAAATTCTTGCGAAAGGATGGTAAGTTCGACAAGAAGAAAGGTAAAAGTCAACAGAAGTCTTATAGTGGTGAAACATCTAGTATTCGATGTTATCACTGTAAGAAGGAGGGTCACATAAGAAAGGTGTGCCCTGAACGCCTGAAAGATCATGGAGGTAATGGAAATGCAGCCATTGTTCAAGATGACTTCGACTCATCTGATGTTCTTGTGGTTTCAAGTGGCGACTCGAGGAAAGAGTGGATTATGGATTCAGGTTGCACTTGGCACATGACTCCAAACAGAGAATTGTTCGAGGAGCTATGTGATCAAGATGGTGGATCTGTGCTGCTAGGAAACAAAAAATCTTGCAAAATTGCAGGTATTGGATTTGTGAGATTCAAGCTCCATGATGAGTCAATAAGGTTATTGACTGAAGTCAGGTACGTACCTGACTTGAAGAGAAATTTGATTTCTCTTGGTGAATTCGACAGAAAAGGATATGTTTTTCAAGGAGAGAAAAGTATCCTAAGAGTCATGAAGGGGTTGAAGGAAGTCTTGAGAGGCGTGAAGAAACAAGGCTTATATACCCTTGAGGCTGAGGTTGTAAGTGGTTCGTGTTGCACCCTAAAATTTGACCAACCGGTTCTCCTATCTGGTTCATGGTTCAATTCGTATTCGCATATCCGATGCATGACATTTGTACACAGACAGAGGATGTCAGGGTTACAGCTTGGTTTTCATCTACCGGATATTTCAGATCCAGTCTAGATAATCAGGGTTTCATTTTCGGGAAATTGTGCACTTCTCGGTGTTTTCAGCTTACATGGTGGTTTTTTGGGATATTCTGATGCCAGGGGTTTACTGTTTGCTTTAATCTGGTCGCACGCTCTTTTATGTTGGTTATTTGCCTCTGTTTGCATTTTTTTTAAGGATTTAATAGATTTTTCATATTTTAAATAGGCTTTATAGATTTTTTAGGATTTAAATGGATTTTTTTAATATTTTTAATAGTTTTAAATCATTTTCGGAATTTTATAGATTTTTTAATAGATTTTTCTTTTATTAATTTTAGATAGAATTTTAATCTAGATATAGGAATTAATAATAGTTAATAGATATTATAGGATTTAATAGTTTGTAGATATAGATTTAATAGAGTTTATTTTTAATATAGATTTAATCTTTTGTTAGATATTAATTTCTTTTATTAGGTTTAATATAGGTTAGTAGTTTTTTTTATATAGATATTAATAGATATTGGTTTTAGTTTAATATAGGTTTAATTAGATTTTAATCATCTTTTAGATTTAATTAGGATTTAATCTTTTGTTTAGATTTTAATTAGAGTTAATTGAGTTTTCATTTAGTTAATTGAGTCATTTAGGATTAATTAGAGTGAGTTAGGTTTAGCTAACTAGTTAATTAGGTTTAGTCTTTAATTAGTTTCTAATTAGGTATTAATCATTTTCATTAATTAGATTAATTCAGATTTTATCAGGCCAAATTCGTTGGGCCCAGTGCAGGTTGGAGGCCCAGTTCATCTCAATCATTTTTGTCCATTTTTCTTCAGTCCAGAAAAATTGAAAGTGACACATGTCAAGTATATATTCAGCCACGCGTGTAAACCCAAGGACCCCACCTCATAACTCCAAACTTCCCCAGCTCTTGCCACGTTTCAATCCATCTCCCTCTCTCTGCCAGCACAGCCATACACGCGTCCCCCTTCCAGCTTTCCTCCTGCCACTTGTCTTCACCACCTTCTCACCGGAGCACCCCATCGCCGGCCATGCAGCCGCCCACCGGACCACCCTCCTCCACCGCAACGGTCACCGGAAGCTGGTAATCTCGCCGGAAACTGCGAATTTTCCGTTTTCTCCAGAGATTCATCCAATCTCCTCCAATCGTCTCCGTCCCTCTTCATATACTATTAGCTGGAAAACTCATACTACTCACCAGAAACTTCATCCGTTGCCGGAAACTTCAAAGAAATTCTAGAAAACTTTCAGAACCTTCATAGACCTTCATCAATTTTCCAGAAAAATCTTCAAGAACTTCATTGTTCTTCACGTTTCCCAGCAACATTCAAGGACCTTTATCGGAGTTATCAAGAAGCTCAACCAACAGTTTATTTTCCAGATCTCGTTGGGTCTTCAAGATTCATACAATCTTCAAGTATCTTCATCTGTTCTTGCTTCATTTTTCCAGATTTCCTTTCAAGATTCTAGCTCAAAGTCTTCTTCATCGTGGATCCTCGAAGCCCCAGAATCGCCTCCAAGCATCGCCAAGCCCCCTACATCTTGTTCATCGTCTTCAACGACCTTTTAGCGAGCAAATCTACGCGCGAGATCTTGAATTCGTCAGGTTCTTCATTGAGCATCAAAAACTCCACGAGCTGTTCGTATTCCATATCCAGGTACATGTTCATGCGATCTTGGTTGCATTTTCCCTTCTGATTGCTGAGATTTTCTGGTTTCGTTTTGATTCGATTAGAGTCTAGATTAGGGTTGAATGGATTTGAGTGTGGGAATGGTGGTTTGTTTGAGATTTGTGAGAGTTTGAGAAGGTTCTTGAGAGGAGGTTCAGAGGGGAGTTTGAGAGGTTGGTAGCGGCGTGTTAGGGTTTGTGTAGTGAATAGTGAACGAGAGGTTAGAGATGAAGAATGGTTTTGTTAGTCATTCGTTTGGGTTAGGGTTGGATTGGGTCAAAGCCCAAGTCTGATTGCTAAGTGCTACCCTCCATTTACTCGCTATCCCCCCCCTGTTTGGAAATGCTGAATAGATTTAGGTGTGGGCTTAAGCCCCATTGCTAGGCGCACCCCCCTCAGTTTGGGCCCAGTCTGTAAACAACTGGATCGTTTGCTATTTGCCCCCCCTGTTTTATTTTCTTTTATATTTCTTTGTTTTCATTCATGTTAGAAAAAATTCATAAAAAATAGTAGGAGTGCTCAATTAATTCCCTTCTTTTTTTTGTAGGCTCCTAATTCAATTTAGGATTTTACGATGCAAAAATATTAATTTGATCATGCATTTTCATTTTTGTTTGCATTTTTGTATTTTAATTGGTCCTGAATAATTGGTTTGTGATGTGTCTGCCTTGCTGATTTTAGTTCTCTCATTTGGTATTGATTTTTGCTTTAGTTTTTTAGTATGTTATACTAGACTAATGCATGCTCCCCATAGGATTTTTGTGTATTTTTTAGAGATTGATTGATGTTGTTTTAGGGTTAGAGAATAGAGACCTCACAACTTGCTGGTAACCCTTGACCATTCATATGTTAGGGATTGTTTAGTAGCCTTAGAAGTTGACTTAGGCTTTGAGATCTGATCTTGGGATCATAGAGGCATGTAGGTTTCCCCTAGATTTTTGGTAGATTTTTATAGGGTGTTCTGTTATTTTTGTTTGAGCCTGAGAATAGGAGAAGTCTTGAGGGCTTCTGACTTTGAAGTTCAACTGTGGTTGAACTTCAGAGATAGTTTCTTTGGGTTTGAGGGCCTGTGGTTTCTTCTTGGAGATGGAGGCTGGATGAAGTCTTGGTGGAGCTTGCAAGGATGCATGGATTGAGGTCCTAGTCTAGGAGCTTGCTCTCTGTTTGTGAGGTTTGAGATCCTGAAGTTTGAGGGAAATTTATGGTACTTTCCTGAGGAAGGCACTATGAATGTCTTTCATTCTTTCTTCTCACCTCTTTCCCAAGTATCCAATGATGTTGGAGCCTTCATGTGAGTTTAGTTTCTCCTGAGGAGGAATGTAAACCGATCACAGTTGTTGAGCCACATGGGATATGATTCCTAAGTGGAAGCCCCTAGTACTTTCCTGAGGAAGGCACTATGGGTCTGCTCACTTAGTTCCCCTAGTTCTTGTAGGATTTCTCAAGTATCCAATGATGTTGGAGCCTT